GAACATGAGAGCTGAATACGATTTACGAAGTTACCTGTGATGCCACATGATATGACACCTGAATTCATCTCAAACCTAAGTAATGAATAAAGAAAATTGGTTAATTTTAAAACCCCCCAGTTATGATAACTCAAAGCATTAAGTCTTTCACTACTCCATTTATAAATATACTTCATCTACTTCATTGGAGGTTCAGGGAGTAAAACAACGTCTATGACTATTCCAGCTCTGCTTCCTGGAAGACTTCCAACTTATGGCTTAAGAGGTCACGTGGCTACTTCTAGAAATAGGTTTGTGATGGCGCTACCTGGTCTGTGAGAAAATACTGCTGAAAATTCTCAATAAACGACATTTCTTGTGAATAATACCACTTTGAAGCGTTGTTTTTTTGAGATACTGGTATGTTGACAATAAATTCACACTTAGTCCACAATGGAATAAATTATATCCTTTTGAATCTTTTTAGTTGTGGTAGAATAGAAGTTAGTCGATTACAACCGTCAGCACGACAAGCAACAGGAGGAGTTGAATCTGTTGACAAAGTTCACCTCGACAATTCAAATTATTTACTAGTTGGAAAAACTGAAGATGGATATCCTAGAAAGTTGAATGTAGTGAAGGAATTACACAAATTCGAGACAATTCGTAGGAAAGGTAAATTTTATGTACCAGATATGAATGTGTTGGACGTACCAATTTTTAAGGCAGATGAAGCATCAGGAGAATTGCTCCATGAATTCAGAATTTCTAATCCAACATTTAGGTGCTAGTATGCTAATGCAAATTTTGATGAAGGACGATTCAAGGCAATATCGAGAGTTTACAGTAGTTTATCATACTTACGCAATAAATCAAATTCTTCCAACCACCATCGAACTGCCACAACGAACCACCACCACCATCATCGGAGGGCACAATAATTATTCTACAAATAGCTTTTCAAAAGGTTTTAGACGAAACTACTGAAATGGTATTCCTACAATGAAAAGACGCTGTGGAAATAGAGTTGGAAATGAGCCGTTGTAGATAGTGAAGAAGTAAATGTCAATTTGTGTGATATTGAATTCACCTCATTAAACACTTCAAGTTGCCTCAATGCATCAGTGCACCTCCTTTTCATTCACTTTCAACTTCTTCTTCATCATCCCATCACACTATCATCCCCATCACTATCACCATCATGGCTATGCACAAACAAGCGCATTGAGTGTCGCACCAGCCAAAACTACACTTACAAGATCAAAATGGCAGGAATTTGATTTCCTCAACTCGACTATTTCTTCTTGACAGTTGAACGAGTAGGCTTAGTACAAGCAAATGG